ATATAAGAAGTTGTTATTGATTGATTGATTAGTTCATGATATCTCATGCATGGTCTGACTTTAACTTCTATCATATACAAGCTATCCCCCACCTACCTCCCCCCCCCCTTTCCATCAATATCTATTGGTTTCCGAACAAAAAGAATAGGGGTGGGGGATTAAGGATACCACTGGGGAATATTAGTTTAGGGAGGGGAAATACAAAAAGGAGCAAGGAGGTAGATAAAAAGAGTAAAGGGGTAAAAACAAGAAAGGGGGTATTTCACTACTGGAAGGAGAGAGTACAGCTAAATTTTCTGTCAAGAAATATTATTTCATTAATAAAAAATACTTCATGTCTTGCCGTATTTACTCAAATATTTGATTAGACTTTATTAGACTAGATCTAGACTACACTAGACAAGACTAGAAAATACTAGGACTAGACTAGAATAGGAAAGACTAGCACTGTAGTAAATTCCCTACTCCAATAAATACTTTTAGATTAGTGCCAATCCACGTACAACTCAATCTCGAACTCCAGGTTCTCCAATAATACCTTGGTCAGTATCAATCCGGATATGACACTATATGTATTCTTCAGTATCTGTCTTACAAGATACAACTCAATCTAGAACTCAAGGTTCCTCAGTAATACCACAGTCAATATCAATCCGGATACGACTCAGTCTGTATTCTCAGGTATCTGTCTTACAAGATACAACTCAATGTAATTCCAATCTATATCTATCTTATTAGAAAAAAATTCAGGGCGCTTCTTGTTTGCCAACCAAGAAACAATTACTCTGACACCGTAATCACAGTGGAGTATTATTCCAACTAATGTATATTTGGGTTCTATGATACAGGTAAAGTTAATCAACGTAATTACAAGTTTTACGTAGTCATTTACAAACCTGATTTAGTTAAATTGTGATACAAGTTTTATATAGGTATTTACAGAGTAGTTAAGATTTACAGGTTTTACGTAGTTATTTACAAACTTAGATAATTAATAAAAGGCATAGTTAGGTTATTAATAACAACATATTTCAGGTTTACAGATATAGGGTTACATCGATATGAATTACAGTACTAGAACAGGAAGTACTAGACTAGACTTGACTAGACTAGACTAGACTAGAATACGAAGACTAGAACTAGAAAAGACTAGAATAAGGAAAGAATAGGACTAGACTATATAGACTAGAATAGACTAAACTAAATTAAACTAGACTAGACTGGAATACGAAAGACTAGTACTAGAATAGAATAGAATGGGAAAGACGAGTACCAGACTATAGACTACAAGAGGAAAGACTAGGACTAGACTATATAGACTAGAATAGACTAAACTAAATTAGACTAGACTAGACTAGAATACGAAAGACTAGTACTAAAATAGACTAGAATGGGAAAGACAAGTACCAGACTAGACTACAATAGGAAAGACTAGGACTAGACTATCTAGACTAGAATAGACTAAACTAAATTAGACTAGACTTGACTAGAATAGGAAGGACTAGACTAGGCAATACTAGAATAGGAAATACAAGGACTAGACTAGACTAGAATAAGAAGGACTAGTACTAGACTAGACTAGACTAGACTAGAATATGAAAGAATAGAAATAGACTAGACTATAATAGCAAAGACAAGGACTAGACTAGACTTGAACAGGAAAGACTAGTACTAGACTAGACTAGAATAACAAAGACAAGGACTAGACTAGACTAGAACAGGAAAGACTAGCACTAGACTAGACTATAATAGCAAAGACAAGGACTAGACTAGACTAGAACATGAAAGACTAGTACTAGACTAGACTAGAATAGGAAGGACAAGGACTAGTTTTGTATTATTGTGTTACTAATGTTTACAACCAGATTACAGGTCTATACCAAGCTTGGCTGCCAAGAAATGCAGTTAAGCATTCTTCAGTACAAGGAAAATTGGTTGTACTGTCAATTTACTACTCTACCCCCACCCCACTCCTCTACCCCCTTAATTAATAAACGAGTATGTAGACATTTTTAAAATCAAAATTTTATTTAGGTAAAAGTTGAATATTGACAATGTTTGATTAAATATGCATCGACTATTTGTATTTTCTAATGGAAATATTGTGTATTGATTAGTTAGAATATCAGAATATTGTTATTATATTTTAATGATGAAGGTGAAATGAGATATAACGATATTGAATATAATGGATATTATGCTAAATATCACATATTACAAACTGGGATATCAGGATATAAATTAAGAATTATAAAAAATGAAAATGAATATCTTGTGGATACGTGGGTTCATTATCTATAATCATGGCATATATCTAGTATGGATATCATGGCATAGATCTAGTATGGATATCATTGTATAGATATAGTATGGATATCATGGCATAGATCTAGTATGGATATCAGTATGGATATCATGGTGTAGATCTAGTATGGATATCATGGTATAGATCTAGTATGAATATCATGGTATAGATCTGGTATGGATATCATGGTATACATCTAGTATGGATATCATGGTATAGATCTAGTAGGGATATCATGGTATAGATCTAGTATGGATATCATGGTATAGATCTAGTATGATATCATGGTGTAGATCTAGTATGGATATCATGGCATAGATCTAGTATGGATATCATGGTATTGGTATAGTATGGATATCATGGCACAGATCTAGTATAGATATCATGGAATATATAGTATGGATATCATGGCATAGATTTAGTATGGATAATGGATATTATGGTATATCTTGGAATTCAATTAGTATAGATTCAGTATGGATACCGTGTCAGCTGCAGAAGTGACGAGAGTTAATCCAGATCTGATACCGTGGCAGCTCAAATCCAGATCTGATACCGTGTCAGCTCAATAACTGACGAGGGTTAATCCAGATCTGATACCGTGGCAGCTCAAGAACTGACGAGAATTAATCAAGATCTGATACCGTGGCAGCTCAAGAACTGACGAGGGTTAATCTAGATCTGATACCGTGTCAGCTCAAGAACTGACGAGGGTTAATCCAGATCTGATACTGTGTCAGCTCAAGAACTGACGAGGGTTAATCCAGATCTAATACCGTGTCAGCTCAAGAGCTGACGAGAGTTAATCCAGATCTGATACCGTGTCAGTGACGAGGGTTAATCAGATCTGATAACGTGTCAGCTCAAGAACTGACGAGGGTTAATCCAGATCTGATACCGTGTCAGCTCAAGAACTGACGAGGGTTAATCAGATCTGATAACGTGTCAGCTCAAGAACTGACGAGGGTTAATCCAGATCTGATACCGTAGCAGCTCAAGAATTGATGAGGGTTAATCCAGATCTGATACCGTGGCAGCTCAAGAACTGACGAGGGTTAATCCAGATATGATACCGTGTCAGCTCAAGAATTGACGAGGGTTAATCCAGATCTGATACCGTGGCAGCTCAAGAACTGACGAGGGTTAATCCAGATCTGATACCGTGTCAGCTCAAGAACTGACGAGGGTTAATCCAAATATAATACCGTGGCAGCTCAAGAACTGACCAGGGTTAATCCAAATATGATACCGTGGTAGCTCAAGAAATGACGAGGGTTAATCCAGATCTGATACCGTGGCAGCTCAAGAACTGACGAGGGTTAGTCCAGATCGAAATATATATTTAATAAAATGTGGAGCTAACAATACTTTATTAACTCTGTGATATATGGTTTATTAATATCATGTATCATGACATCAGGTTTATAGATTGATATCATGATATCTGGTCTATGCATATAATTGTATCATGAATAAGGTCTGTGAATATCATGATACAAGGTCTATGGATATCATTATATCATGACAGAAGGTCTATGGATATCATTGTATCATGATCCAAGGTCTATGGATGTCATGATACATGGTATACGGATATCATTGTATCAGGATACAAGGTCTATGGAAATCATGATACATGGTCTATGCATATCATTGTATCACGAATAAGGTCTATGAATATCATGATATAAGGTCTATGGATATCATTATATCATTACAGAAGGTCTATGAATATCATTGTATCATGATCCAAGGTCTATGGATGTCATGATACATGGTATATTGATATCATTGTATCACGATACAAGGTCTATGAATGTCATGATACATGGATATCATTATATCATGACAGAAGGTCTATGAATATCATTGTATCATGACAAGGTCTATGGATGTCATGATACATGGTATATTGATATCATTGTATCACGATACAAGGTCTATGAATGTCATGATACATATTCTATGCATATCATTGTATCACGAATAAGGTCAATGAATATCATGATATAAGGTCTATGGATATCATTATATCATGACAGAAGGTCTATGAATATCATTGTATCATGATCCAAGGTCTATGGATGTCATGATACATGGCATGTATGGATATCATTGTATCATGATACATGGTCTATGGATGTCATGATACATGGTATATTGATATCATTGTATCACGATACAAGGTCTATGAATGTCATGATACATGGTATATGGATATCATTGCATCATGATACAAGGTTTATGAATGTCATGATACATGGACTATGGATATCATTGTATCATGATATAAGGTCTATGGATGTCATGATATATGGTATATGGATATTATTGTATCATGATCCAAGGTCTATGGATGTCATGATACATGGTATTTGGATATCATAGTATCATGACACAAGGTCTATGGATGTCATTATACATGGTATTTGGATATTGTTTTGTCATCATACAAGGCCTATAGATGTCATGATACGGATATCATTGTCGCATGATACAAGGTCTATGGATGTCATGATACGGATATCATTGTATCATGATACAAGGTCTATGGATATCATGTTAGATTATGCGGTATTTGGTTCCTATTTTACTTCACTCTATTCCCCTGAGAATCTCTTAACATTGTTTATCTTCCTCTAGAATACAGTGTATCAACCCGCAGAACAAACAAACACACCGAACACACAATTACCTTAAGCCTTTCATTCCCAGATGAAAAGTTGTACTAGAGGTAAAGGGAGGAAGAAACCATGCAATAATGTTGACGTATCAGCTGATGTACTCTAGAATTGTCTACAATCTACATACTCAACCAAGAGTTTAGAACACTGTCTCAAAGTTTACTGCGGGTCCTCTCACATACTGCCAGATCTCAAACACTGGGAGAGTCTCCGGTAGGACCTGGATCTGGCTGTCAAGAATATATTGTAATGTATTGTGTGTATGTTTATATAAGTGTGTGTGTGTATACTCTACTAGAATATAGTGGACACTGTATGCTGGTCCTCCTCTTCTTCCTGCCTTCCCGGGCCTCAGCCCTTGCAGACCTCAACACCACACCAGGGGGCGGGACACAGAAGGCGTGGCAGTCACATTTATATATCTTCAACCTCATCTTTACCTTGCCAAACAACATTAAGCAGGAGATGGACCTCGGCCACCTAGAGCTCCAGGTTCTGGAATATCTAGGTTCCCATGGGAGGACAGAGGGAGACCATGAAGTGGGGATGGGGGGGAGCCATGAGGCAGGAGGGGGGGGGGGGGTTGAGGTGAGGGGAGGTTGGTCGGCTCATGGGAGGACGGAGAGAAACGAACACCAACAGCAAAACATTTCAAAACCTTATTCTATATAGTAATAAACCTCAGGTTTAAATAAAAAAGCATCATTTAACTTTTCCCCAGGTAAATCCAACCACTTTCTGCACTTCAATAATTTATTGCCAACCTCCAACTGTTATCAATAAACCTTTCTCTACTATTTATTAAACCTCATTCTGAAATATATAAAATAGTCTGATATTTATAAAACCTAATTCTAAATATTAAACCTTAAAAATGGAAAAACCCATTTCTCGATAATATCAGGCGTATCTACTTTTTTAAACCTTAATTTAGTGAACTTCGCTTAATAATTTTCAATAAAGAGAATCATCACGGATTCACAATGCCTAAAAAGTCCTGTAAAAGGGAAAAATCACTTAATTCTGTATATTCGTAATAAATATTGTGTAACACTAGATCTGTTAACCTGAATCACGTTGTACATTATCAATTATCACGTTGTTAATAGCTATGCAAAACCCATATCGTGATTTAAATTAACTGCGATGTAAATAACTACGTAACATGAATAGCATAATTACGTTGTATATTTATATAGACGTTAAAACTTGCAATTAAGCCGATTAACGTTAACTTGTAACATGGAAAACCCAAATATAGTTAGTTGAAAGATACTCCTCTTTGATTACGGTGAGAGAGTAATCGTTCCTTGTTTTGACGAATGAGTTAAGGAGATCGTGCCCATTGGTTTGGCATTAATAGTTTACAAGCTAGTGTCCGTGTTAACATTGATAGCTGACAAGATAGTGCCCATGGGTTTGGCATTGATAGTTTACAAGCTAGTGTCCGTGTTGACATCGATAGCTGATGAGATAGTGCCCATTGGTTTGGCATTGATAGTTCACAAGCTTGTGTCCGGGCTTTGACAATGATAGTAAAGTGAAACCGAGTTATACCTGGATTGATACGGGTTTGAGAAACCCTTATGGAGTAGGGCATTTACTTCATATTTGCTATTTCTACTGCTACAGTCCAATTGAGTCCAATGGTCAAAGTTTGAAAGGTTTACACTATCAGGTTGCAAAGATATACGGGTCAGAAAATATGAGTATAAGGCAACATTTGCCAAATTTGTTAGTGTCCAGATCTTAATTAGTGCGGGGGGGGGATCTCACTAGATATTCCATGTCAGAATAGTGAGAGAGGAGGTTTTTCTGGCAATCCTGATCTGAATAATTCCGCAGCTTTAGAGTCAACAAAACTAACAATTTCTTTACAATCTATGTTTATATGCGATGAGTTTTATTTTATATTTTCCAGAACTGGTCAAACGGCAGGACAAAATTGGCTGAATTTTTAGGGTAAGCCGGGGTTGACATCAGTTAAATTTTTTTTAATTCCACGGGCAACGATGGGTGGATATGCATCACGGGCACTCCAGCTAGCTAGAACACGTGAATTTAACGTTTCTGTCAATTCCAGAAAACTGTGACTTTCGATCACAATTTCTCCTATTAAACATAATTTTTCAGCCTTTTTTACAAATACTTTTTTGCTGGCATACAAGTTTTGAATAAATAGTATTAAGCAAACAAATCCGTAAGTTTAAAGATTGTTAAAATATAAACAAAAACGCATATGATTTAAAATAGAAGAAACCGAATGCCTCTAACTCTGGTTAGTCCGGGGTGAGAAGTTTTATATAACACAGTGATAAGGAATGAAAGTGGTATGATAATTACAGTGCTTAGGATCTTTATCATTTTTGTGCGGATTCGGTTCCTGATCCTGGATCTGCCCATAGATAAAGATACATTGCACATAAGACGACATTTTTCATCTTGAAAGATATAAATGTAAAGAGTTTTATATAAAGATATTCCTATTATATAGATTAACAAGCTCGGTTGTGAACATTGGCTATTCTTTTTTCATTGAGTACTTGTGGTGTACATGAGTTCTGTATAAAGAAATTTAAGTTAGTTAAGTCCTTTTTAGTTCTCGTCAATATGATATATTGCTCAGTGAAATAATTTGATATTCTCAAAATAAAATTCACTCCTGAGTGGTTTAATAATTATGAAATCCATGAAAACACCAAACCACCCCGCTTATCATTGAAGTACACTTTGACCCTTAGAAGTATGAATTCGCGGACTGTACAATTCTTGGTGATTTTGCGTACATAAGCTATAAATGGATCCGGATCCAGGTCATGAAAAACGCAGCGTCCATACAAATTCAGAAAGATGCAACATTCAACTCGGATCGTAAACAAATCAATTTAATTCCAAACAAATCATTCAGATATTAAAAACAGTAGTCATCGGTTATTTTTCGATTCAAGTTGAATGTTGCATCTTTCTGAATTTGTATGGACACTACGTTCTTCGGTGTGAGTCGTTTTTAACAATTTTCTCCTTATAGACGCAACAGTAGAAGTAAGAATAGTTTCGAACAAAAGCGCTTTTTTATCGCATTAAGCCTATACCCCCTTTCATTTTTTGCAAACACTCCCTTTAAGAGTTACTGATTTTTTTAAAAAGAAGTTTCAAATTTGTTTGGTCTTTTTTTTGCTTATTTCTATGCTTAAACTCAATTCCATTTAGAGATAAGGACATTTTTAATAATCTTTTTTCACTAGTTCTGCAGATTTGGATTTTGAGGGATAGAACTTTTGTCTTTTGAATCTCGGTAATCGGGGACAAGCATTGATCTCCATCTGAGATAGACCTACGGATTAATTTAATTTCAATTCGATACCTGCACTGCAGGGATACCTGAAACCTAGGGATAATGCTTTGATCCTTAAATCTAAAAGAGCTCATTCAGGATTCTAGATGAAGCATTCAAGATTAACGATACTCAACTCAGAAGTTCCGATCTTAGAACAATTTTTCTCATTATTTAACACTTTTCTTAAACCTGATAAGATGTTAAAGGAATTGAGTCAATTGCCACAAACTCTAATTATCTTATGCTATCTGAAGGTACTATTCTCTATGACTGTATACCTTTGATATTTCATCCCCCCCCCATGTCATGATTAAAATATAAACCTTAGATCTTCAATTATACCTTTATTGTATACAGTTTGAATTATTTAATATAATATATATATATATGTTGACTGATGCACCTTTTTTCCCCCCTTAAAGGGATTTTCCGAGGTTATAATTCAAGGAAAGTTAATTGCAGTTGCGTATACTCTGCGTATATCTTGAAACCAGTTCTCTCTGGGCGGAATTTGTAAACAAGAATAGATGCATCATTGTTCGTTTTGTATCCGTGGAGGATAAAAGCATTAAATTTCGATAATTTTGATAATTCGCATAATAGTTTCTTTCGACCAGAATATTTCATTCATTTTTTATGTGAAAGATGGATCCCATGTCAGACTGTGACATCCGTCTTGTGTTTACATTACCGCCCAGAGACAGTGCACTGCAGTACAAAAGATGCATACACCTCTGAAATAACTTTCCTTGCATTATAACCTTGGGATTGTCGACGTTTTTTTCAAATGACCTTTCATTTAAATAGTTAAAATCCCGATTCACAACGGTACACAATGCTTTAAACCTTTATCTGCTGGGAAACCATAAGGAAGAAATCGTATAGTTTATCTTTCATAAAAAAAAATCGATATAATGTGAAATAATTATAGTCCAATTGTTGTTATGTTGTGAGTTTATAATAAGTGTTTACTAAACTGTAAGAGGGGGAGGGGGTCTAGGAGTATTATTATTATCCTGTAAATATTGCACCAGGAAATTTAATCAAAATGTCAATCTAAAACCAGCCATTGCATGTAGTTTAGTGGCATAAGAAGTTTTGGCAAAAGAAAGTTGCAACGTTTTGCAATTTTTATAAAGTATAGTATAAGCTCTATAGCTCCTAAGGTAACTAGAGAAAAAAATACAGTGGTAGCCATAACACAGTGAAATAACGGTCGTCTTCTTTATTATCCATTGAAATTGGCTAAGGTATTTTTTCTAATTTATTTCAAAAAATGTAAATGTACTCAGAGAACATTTTATAAATTTATCAGTTTTAGCATTTAAAAACTAGACGCTTTATTTTAAAGAAAAGAGCTAATCCTTAAAACGTTTGTCTGATCCTTTCAGAGACAATGAAGAAAAACAGCCTCAATATCAATATCAAACAGAGTTTAAATTTAAAGTTACAAATACGCTGACAAACTAAAGATTGGAGTTCCGGCGGAGTTACTGAAGAAGGAGATTAGCTTGAATTGGAAGATTAAAGAATCTAATAATATCCTAAAGCTCAAGACTCCAGACTGGAAGCTTATCCGTGATCATAACCAAGACTATTAGAGATGCTGTTCAATCTGTTCTGTAGCAATTTCAGTTGTTGAACCTAAGCTTTGAGTGATATATCATATTCATAATAGTCCACTGCAGTACTTTGTTAAGAAACTGCACCTGCTGCAGTTGCTGTGTTTTACTCACCTTATAGGACTCATCTTCTCGATGCTCCCAATAATTCCTGGGGAAACTATCCCTGCATTACATGCAAATCTACTCCACACAGCTGCTGTAGAACTGGCATGAAATATCCACTGTTGATGACCTCCTCGATATTAAACGGATGGCGGGGGAAGAAGATCAGCGGACAAGAATGGAGACAATATCCACATGGAATGTGTCAGAATCCCTGTAGGAAGTGTTAATCTTTTCATCATTCTTTATGCTGT